ACAACCCGCAATTAAACCGGAGAGTAATAGATTAATAAAATATTCATCTTTTGTTAACATGCCTAATATAAAAAAATCTATACAAAAATGTTCCAAGGGAGAGTATAAAAGAAAAAAATAGCATTCAAGTCTTTATATATATATATATATATATATATGTTTGTAAATATGAAATTAATTTAAATATTTGAAACAAGATTTTTGTAATCAGATGCATTTTCTTCTAATAAACCAAAATCTTCTTGTTTCAAGTCTAAGAAAGTTACATCCTTGAAAACTGGGTCATTAGATTCCTTAATTTTACAATCTTCAGTGGCAATTATTGAAATGGCATCATAACCACCAGCACCAGGAATCATAGCTGTAAGAACACCTTTTTGCTTTATAACATTGTCTAAAAGTTCAGTTTGAACAGCTGGCTCAATATCAACTGATCCTTTTTTAGATATTCTTCTGAAGTTAGATCTTATTTGAAGAACAGCTTTAATAATTTTGACTAAAATCTCATTTTTGATCTCACCATTATCAATTTCTTTCAAAATAGATTTATATCCTTCACTAATTATACCGTCCTTTTCTGAAATTTTATTTAATTCAGATAAAGAAGTAATAAAGTCACAGTTCCCTTGATTGATTTCTTGGTAAGTTTTCAAACTTTCTGGCATATTTTCGTTATACCAAGATTTAACTTTTGCTACCAATTTTGTAGTTTCAGAACCGGTATTAACATCACCCATGATCAATCTTAAACCTTTAGGTAAATGAATTCTATCATGTGTAAATTTCCAATCTGTATTTTGAACTAATTTTACCAAAGCTTCAATATAGTTGCCTTTTTCATCATCATTACTTGGTAAACTATTTATTAATTCAGCAGAAAATCTTTGGTATAAAATAGAACCAAATGTTGCAGCACCAACATCGAATCCACTTCCAACTTTTCCTTGAGCTTGGCAATGGGCTACTTGAGCCAAATTGTGAATTAATAATAAATTTTTTTCGTCTTTAACATTAAATGAGTCTTTTAAAAACACAGATACTAAAGCACTTGTCAATACTGTAACTAAACAAGCTGATGAACCTAACCCTGTTTTTGGTACTTTGGTGATAGATTTTTTATGAAAATTGAATTTCTTTGATCCATTATCTATAGTTGTAGTTTCTTCTTCTGAATGGAAACCTGGATCTGAGAAAATTCTGATTGTAATATCATATTTTGCAATATTTTTTTCCTTATTGAAAAAATTTAAAACATTTAAAATAGTTTTTTCAACAAATGGGTTTTTCAAACCATTAACTTCACTTGGTATCAAATTACCTAATTTATTTTCAGAAAGAGTATATTCCCATGTATCATTGTTAAATTGAGAAGATATAACTTTAACTTTTAATTGATCACTTTTTGTAAATTCTACAATAGAATGCATTCTACTTGATAAGGCAACTACATATGATTCATATTGTGGATCTAAAACTAAATATCCACCAACAAGCAAGGCTTTACCAGGAGCACTAAAAGCTCTAACAGTCATATTATTAAATTCTGTTTGGGTATTTTAAATTATATTTATTTGGAGCTTTTCTTGAAGCATCAAATACATGTAATTTTTTTTTTTCAGATAAACGAGATGTTGACAAAAAAAAAAAAAAAAACGTGTACTGAAAAAACTCACGTGTTTTTTAAATTATTTTCTAAATATTCAAATTAAACTTATTCAAAAACTTTTACCTTTTTATTATTATAATTAATATTTGGTAGTTCAAAGTTTTGAATAAAATTTTCTTTAAATATATATAAGTATATTTATATTTCTTGAAATGCATCTTTTTTTACCTTCTTCTTATTCTTCTTCATCTGAAGATGAAATGACAATGACTTCGTCTGTTGGATTGGTTATCATTTTCTCTCTAACTAAAGAAATAATCTTAATATCTGAATTTGAACTATCATTTGAATTGAAGGCTTCATCTACTAAAGCCGGATGTGATATCAAATCTTCTTTACTAACTTCGTTTGCATAAACTTTAGTAATTCTATAAGAAGAATTATTCAATTTTTGTCTTTTAGTATATGTACTTTTAATTTTTTCCAAATCATTTTCATCCAAATTGACATCCTCTGTTTTGATTTCTTCATCATTTGATGTTTCATTTATAGCTTCTGATTCTGTATTATTTAATGGTTTTCTAACAGTTGTGAATAAATTCTCAAAATTTCTCTTCATAGAATCTTTGGCTTTGATTACAAGTCCATTAAAAGTTACTCTTGACTCTTGAATCTTTTGCAACGATGAATTATCTGGTACTTCACGTTTGCTGGCTAAATAACTCTTTAGCTTAGTAGTTAAATATTGACCTTCAGGAATTCCTTGTTTTTGATAGAATTCAGTGACTATATCTTGATCACTATTTTCATAAACATCATCTGATTGAGTGGAAATATATTCATTATCATTGTTTTCTTGGTTTTTCTCCATCAATAATGGAACACCATCGGAATCTAAATCTACAGAGTTTGGGTCATTAGTTTCAGATATTTCCTGTTCATTAAATTCAATATCTTGATCGTTGTATATTGACTTTTCGTTTAAAGAATTATTAGAATTTAATTCATTTTCCAATTTTTGTGCCTCTGCTATCTCTTCCGCAAGTTGTTGTTTTATAGCAATGATATCTTCCCCATCTTCATGATTAATCTTTATTTCAACAGGTTTAGTAGAAATTTGTTCTCTTAGTTTATTAGTATACATTTGCTCTTGTTTCAACATTTTTTGCAAGTTTTCAAGAACAATATTCTCTTTAAGTTTCCTTTCTTGTTCAACTTTTTCCTCAAGTTCTTTAGCTTTTTGTTCTAAATCTAATCTTTCTCTTTCCATTTCCTGACTTTTTTCACTTTGTTGTCTTATAGCTTCATTTAATTCACTTAAAGTCTTTTGGTGCTGCTGAAGTTTAAAAAGAGCTAAATCATTATTTTGTTGTTTAGATGTGATTTCAGATGTTAGAGTTCCAAATTTTTTCTGATATTCTAGTTCAGCTTTTGTTTTTTCTTGTAAGATTTTTTCCAATCTTTCCTTTTCTAATCTATCTAACTTTTCCTGTTTTTCTACTTCTTCTCTCATAATTCTTTCCTTTTCCAATCTTTCTTCTTCTTCCCTCTTTGCTCTTTCTTCATCTTCAATAAGTTTTAATTCTAAAAGTTTAGCATCTTCCTCCTTTTGTTTTTGCAAAGCCATTTGTTGTTCTTTTTGTTTTTTAACTCTTTCTAAAATGTTATTAAGCTCAAAGTCAGCATCAGCTACTTTTTCATTATTTTGCTCAAAAGGATTTATGGATAACAGTGATGGGTCTAGTAATGATTTTGGTTCATTACCAGGTTGCTCTTCAAAGGCACTTTCGGTTTGTACATTATCACTTTCATACTTTAATGAATATTTTTGGAAAGATTCTGTGTTTTGCAAACTTTCAATTTCATTGATATTAGATTCTTCTTGTTGAGTTGTAACATCAGGTTGTTCTCTTTCAACTGAAAATTCCTTTTCTTGCACATCAACTTTATCAATTAATTCATCTTTGATTTCTTCTACTACTTCTTCATGATTTTCAACTTCTAAGGCATCATTATCAGTTTCATCAACTTTAACATCTTCAGATTCAGCATTTGTATATTGTTGAATTAGGAAACTTTCAATTAAAGCATCATCTTCATCATTTTTATTGACTGTGTAATTTTCAACTGGTGATTCATTTTCATTCATGTTAGCTCTATCACTTGTTTCTTCATCAGATGATGATAATATATGAATTATATTTTCACCATGTTCATCTTTATCACAATTAAAAATCTCGTTCAAGAACTCATCATCCAAATTTTGGTGTTCTTCATTGTTTTTAGGTAAAAAATTAGGTTCTTGTAATTTATCATCAAGTTCTTGCTTGTGAATTTTATAATTTTCTATTAATAATTCAGATTCAAGATCTTCTTCTTGTAATTTACCTTTGCTATTATCAAGTTGTTTAACCAACACTAAAGCTTTTTTTCCTTTTAGCAAAGCTCCTTCAAGAGATTCTATACAACTAGAAAACTCAGTTTCATTACAGTCATCTCCATCATTTCCTTCTTCAGTAGTTGTTGTTTTATCTCCAGAAAGATATTTTTTTTCTAACTTTTGTCTAATTAACTCATAATCATTAGATATATCACTGATATTATCAATATTATTTCTTTCAGCAAATAATTGATTCAATTTATTTTTATATCTAAACTTTTTGATATCAGATTTTTTTGTATTACTATAATCATAATCATAATCATATTTGTTATTTTGTGACATATTATTCTGTTAAAAATGTATTATATATATAATAAGAATAGTAAACTTGATATGTTGGGTTTGTTTTTACTATTTTCAAAGAAACAAAACTGTTAAAAACTGTGCTAATATATGTATTAATTTTAACAAGAGAAAATTTTTTTTTTTTGTTTTCTCTTGTTGTATTAAAAGTATAAACAATTTCCGGGATAACCAACAAAAAAGAAAAAACAAAAAAAATTATATCCGAAACCAGAGAAATTGTATTCATCAAATACAAAGAGACAATATATAATTCTTAATAATTCTAAGATGGGTTTCAATAAAGTAAAATACTAAATAAAGTATAAAATAATACTAATCAAACTCTAGAATATTTAAACTTTTAGTTAAATGATAAACATACACTACAATATAAATAAACAAAACATCTGACAATAATTATACTTTTTCTAATATTTTTAAATAATTCAAAAACCTATATTAAATGTATTTTTTCTTATTAAAAACCCTTTTGAAATTAAAAATAAATTACTTATTGATTTATAGTATAATATTTTCTTATTAAATTTTAAGAATAATAGCTTCTTTTACCTTTTTTTTTTAAATCAAAATATACATTATATTATTCATTAAAAACCCGTATTCAAGATTTTGTTAAGAAATAAACAAACATCTAAGATTTGTTAAGCTTTCATAGCTTAGTTGGTAGAGCGTCGCACTAGTAATGCGGAGGTCATCAGTTCAACTCTGGTTGAAAGCATTATATAACATTACTTAGTGTTTATTTTTATATTTTTTTGCTTCATCATTATTTTTAATTTGATATCGGAAATAAAAATTAAGTTTTTTTTTTTTATAAGTGAAATAAAAATATATTTATTTATTTAAATGGTTTATATATCAAGATTGTACCATCATTAGTGACGTTTGTGAATAAATTCTTTTTTGGCCAATATCCTGTACTATGGAGCATTCTTTGTTTAATGTTGCATTCTTCTAAATATTTTGGTGATCTATCTCTTCTTTGACCACCACTGGTATGCTTAAACATCAAACACTCTTGTAAAGATTCATCAACAGTAAGTCTTTCAATATTTTCCTCTTTGTTTTCTTTTATAGCTTCAACAATTTTCATATCATGTTTAATGAATGGAACAATATCCCAATGATAGATGAATCCACTTCTTGAACAATGTGTCAAAAATTCATGATCATTGATCCATTCTACTTTGTTAATATATGGATAAATCCATTCAACACCATTTTCATCCAAAGTATTTATTCTCTTTGTAGCCAAATAGTTTTCGACTATATTGTAGTCATATCTTTCAAAATGATTTGCTTTCAATTTATCATTATAAGCAGTGTTTTTTTGTTTAATAGTTCGATCTACAAGCAATTCTCTATTTTGTATCAAATTGTGTTTCAATTTCAAGATTTTGTTGTATTTTTGGGCCACTGGTATTTCAGAAATATCCCATAAATTAATATCACCATTGATATGACCTGTTGTTAATAGATTGGTATTGTATTGACAAATAGATAAACTGGTTATTTCTTCTACTTTGTCTTCTTCATATTCTGCTATACTTTCATTCCATTTGTTGATATCTAAAACAACTTGTTTTTCATTATCTGTTGATGAAAATTGAGAATAGATTATATTTCCTTCAAATGTGTATAATAGTTGATCTTTGAAGTTTGTGATCAAGTATGGAATAAGTTTCAAGTTTTCATTACTGAAAATAAGTTTTTTAACTATAGAAAGTTTTGTCTTTTCAATTTGAATCAAATATCCAGAATCTAATAAAATTTGATCATTTTGAATGATAGAGAAATGAGCAGTTGGAAAGTCTTTTTGTTCATCTTTGTTTAATTGCAAAAAACCAAATTGATCTGGATTAATTTTACCATAGTTCATAAAATCCAAGTTTTTAATCAATTCAGAAGAGTCAAAATCATTATTTTTAGACAAATTATAAATTTGTAATTGTTTAGAAGTCAAAACCAATAATCTATCTTCAGAAATCAATTCCATTTGAAGAAGTTTATCATTATTTGGAATGCAACCTATTTTGGATAATTTCCAAAAATCCAATTCTCCCTTGTTTATTTTATCAAAATCTAATTCAACTTTATATATATATTCATCATCATTCAAATTCATGTATAAAGTATTTTCATCTGTTGTTGATTGTGTTATTGTTACATTTTTAAAAGTTTCTGATTCATATTTTTCTAAAGCATTATCACCTTGAAATGGTTTAAATTCTAGTGGCTTGAAAGTAGTTATAAATTCAAACATAACAGACCAGTTATCTTTCCAAATTTTAAACTCTTCATTTTCTATGACATTTCTTTGAATGATATAATCTTTAATAGTTTTGAATCTTGGAACATTTTTCAAGTTACTGTTGGAAGAACCATGGTTTCCCCTTTTAGAATTACCTGATCTTGTAAACACCATTTAATTAAATTAGATATAATAATATGTATATGTAAATAAAATAAAAAAGTTAATATAAATAAGTAATAAAAAAAAAATTGATAGTACAATTGGTATTATATTTTGTGTATTGGTTTTTTTTTTTTCTCACTATTCTATTAATTATTATCTCTTTTTTTTTTGTTCTTATGTTAATAGAGAAAAAAATAAAAACATAATTCTTGTGCGCTTTTTTTTTTTTTAATTTTTAATTTTTTTCTATACATTAATATTTATAAGTCACATGATTATAATAAAAAAATATGAGAGAGGGAAAATATGAATACATTATTTTTATCAATATAAAAAGGAAAAAAAAATATATATATTTAAAAATAAAAAAAAAATATAAAACTAAAAACAATTGTTGTATTTTTTATCATTTACATTAAGTTTTATCAACTAACTAAATAATATATGTGTGCTTTTAAAAAGTATGTTTATCTATCATAATAATGGGGGGATGGTGTGTAACAAAAGTGTCATATGTCTAATTAAAAATTTTCTTTTTTTCTTGTTCTTTCTTCTTCTTCTATTATTTCTTTTCCGCTTCTTTTGATTCCTTCTTTTGAGTCTGTTTTTCTTTCTCTTTTTGTTGTTGTTCTTTTAGTAATCTCTTCAACTCTCTCATTTTTTCTTTTTCTTTTTCCTTCTCTTCTGGAGGAGGAGGAGGGTGAGAATACTTTGCGCCTGGTGTTACACTGTTGAAATAAATCAAATTGAATTCATGGTATGGAATCTCTGGTTTATTAATTTTTAAAATCCGTTCTTTTCTTTTATCAATAACATACCAGAACAAATCCCAATCCATTTCAGATCTTAGATAATCTTTACTGTCTTGTAATTCCTTTCTCAATTTTGTTTGAGAGACATCAAGTGTTTGGAATGCATTTCCAGAAAGAGTGATAATCTTACATAGAAGTTTCCAGTTTTCTTTATTAATTATAACATTTTTCAAGCATAGTTTTTCCAATTGATTTTTTAACAACAATTTAGCGACAGCTTTGAAAATAATTGTAACCATTCTATCAGTCAAAGAAACATTATCAAATACCAGTGTTTTCAAATCGATACATTGAATGAAATCAGTAAAACTTAAAATATCAACAAGTGTAGGTTTTGGATTCAAAAATTTCAATACTTGTAATGGGTTTTTCTTATTTTTCAATTGTTTCAAAGTGATTGGAATTGGTAAAATTTCTCTTAAATGACAGCAACGGGTATAAATCTTATCTAAGGAAACATTTTTATCCACTGTTCTCAATGAAGAAGGTGAAGATGGTAATGAATCTTCAGAATTTCCTGAGTTTTGTCCATCTTCAAAATCATCATTCCCTATAGAGTTAGAGAGACCAGAATGAGTTGGAAGTTCATCAACGAAAGAATGATGTCTATGAATTGGCATATCAATAATAATGTTTTCCTCACTAGCTTGTCTGATTGGACCATTAGGTCTTCTTTCAAGCGGATCAGTTAAATGTTCTAAATTTTTTTGGTTTGCAAGGGAATTATTTTGTTGTTGTTGTTGTTGTTGTTGGGGGATCGGAAGGACTCTTTGAATACTCTCTGCTAAAGAAGATACTGGTGATTTCAGTGGTGATGAAGTCTTTGTAGAGGTTCCGAGAAGTTCCCTTATAGGATTAGTAGCACCAGTAGTTGGTGATGATGGGGAATCTAATTTTTCTAATTCTTGTTCTAATTTTCTAGCTCTAAAATAAGAACTTTGCTGATGAGCCATGGATTCTTTAAGTTGGGATGAATGTTGATCGACTAAGATTCTATAATCTTTAGTTTGAGTGAAATCTGTTGGTTGAGAGTGAGTGGTAGGCTTTTCATTATTTCCAGAAGCAATACCTTCATCGATATTAATAGAAGTAGAAAGTTCATAGGGCAGTAGCTTAAGACCCTTTCTAGGATTTCTTCCTGGAATCTGTTGAGGAGGATCAATAGTGAAAGTTTGAACTTTGAAAGCGACTCTCTTTGTATTGATATTTTCCAAAATGTCATCATATGTCAAAGGTTTCTCTGGTTGATTTAACTCTTTAGGTTTTGGGTTCATTTGTTGTTGTTGAACTATTTTCTTAAAGTCTTTTGGTTGTTCAATTTTATTAGCAACAGGTGTTTGAATTATAGAGTTATCTGATGAAGAGGATACAGAGGAAGCAATAGATGATACTGAGTAAATTGTTTGAGCATCCTCACTAGTATTGTTAGTTTTAAAATTAAATTGTGTCTTTGAAGTAGGGGTAGTTGCAATTGGTGTTTTTGTTTTTGTAATCTCTTTTTCTTTAGTATCCACTACAAGTTTCTTCTTTGCTGATGCAGAAGTAGTTTTATTAGAGCTACCTCCAAATATGGAGGAAAAAATGGATCTTCTTTTAGGTGTTGTGGTACTTGCAGTATTAATACTATGTGATCTTGTGATAGATCCACTGGTTGAAGAATTTACTACAGAAGATCTAATTTTAGGTAAATCTAAAACATCTTTATCTGATTTATTAGTAGGAGTATTTGAAGGTATATTTACAGAGGTAGTTTTTTTGAGATTATTCTCTGCTAGAGTGATAGATTTACTTCTAGTTCTCATTTTGTATATATTAATAAATAAACAAAAAAAAAAAAAGAGACAAATAAATATAACAAATTAAAATATGTTTTGTTTAAGAAATTATTATCATAAAAGAGATAATTTAATTATAAACCAATTAAAATGTAGAAATAATGTTATTAATACAGTAATTCCTATTTACAATATTTATTTTAATTTTATAAATTTTAATCTTTAATATAACCAACTTAATCAAGTGTTGTGCCTATTTAATAATGATTGTATTTTGTATTATTTTATCAAGATTATTATAAATAATGGGGTGAGGGGTTTTTTTTAGGTTTCTATTAGTTTTGTTTTATAATCTATTATATTAAACAAAATCTTCATTATCAAAAAAGAGACAAAATTAATAAATTAATAATAACAAGAAAGTGTCAATTATTTTTGATACCACCAATAATTGTAAAAAAAAAAAAAAAAAAAAAATAAATATATATATATAATTTTATTTATATATATATTAATT